GGTGGGTGGGTGGATGGATGGATGGATGGATGGGTGATTGAGTGAATAATAGCTGTCAATATAAGTGCTATCCTCATTATCATTACAGACTAATTAAAGTGATTTCTCCTTCAGGAAGTGTTCCCAGATTTTCCAGTTGGAGGGTCACTCTTCCCCTCTGTGACCTCACGGCCCAGCGTCTGTCCCTCTCCAAGGGTCCTAGTTTTCTTCCCTAGAGGATAGTATCTGTGCTTTCTCTATTCTCTGGAACATGATATAGTTAGAAACAGAAGTCACGTTCCACTTATTATTTTGCCTGCAATAGAGCTGGTTGCACAGTAGTTGCTCAGGGAATATTTGGTGAAAAAACCCTAGAATCTTATAATCTGAGCTGTATCAGACCTCCAAAGAGTAAGGGCATTTGGAATTCAGAATTCTGGGGAAAATCCTGAATCTGCAGACCTCCTAGAGTCCAGAACCTTGTAAAATTCTGCAACTATAGACTCAGCACCTATCTGAGGACCTGGAACCCAGGAGATGCCAATAAATATTTATGGGGTGAATAAGGGGACAGGGAGATGTGTATGTGTGTGTGGAAGTGTGGATGGGTAGGTAGATGGATGGATCATGATAAATCCAGTTAGCTCAACTGACTCCTAGAACAGCCTCCTCCATAGACTAGGGGATTGCTCTGGGTGCCCCATCCCATCAAGGTGACCCTTGTATTTCTCAGAGAATAACAGATTCCCCAGAGGCTGGGCCATGAGTGAGGAGGGCCTCCCTAAGAAGGCAACATCTGTTCAAAGACCCAATGCACATAGTGAAGAAAACTATGTGAAGATCTGGGGAAAGAGTGTCCAGGCAGAGAGAACAGCCAATGCAAAGGTCCTAAGGTAAAAATGGGTGTGTTGGAGATACCCAGTTTGCCAATTCACATCCTTCTCTTTCTCCCCATCTGTTTCCCAGGATTACAAGAAGTTCTGGGCTGGCCTCCAGGGCCTCACTATCTATTTCTACAATAGCAATCGGGACTACCAGGTGAGGATGCAAATGAGGGCTCAAGATATGGCCCATCCTTGACCCCAGGGACCAAGCAGAGGGTGTAGGTGGTTTGGCCAAACCAGGGGGCCTGAAGGACCACTGGTCTGGTGCTCAGACGCCTGCTGCTGTGCCCCCAGCATGTGGAGAAGCTAGACCTTGGAGCATTTGTGAAACTCACAGATGAAGCTCCCCGAGGGATTTCCCATGACCCTGGTACACATTTCAACCTGGTCGTCCGGAACCAGGAGATCAAATTCAAGGTAGGTCCCTTGGGGGATGGGGTGGGGCTGGTGGGAGACCCTGCTTCCCCATCGTACCTACCATTAACACACACTAGCATGGAGTCATGAAGAGTCTAACACTGAGTTGGTGACATTGGGCGAGTCACTTGACCTCTCTGGGCCTCAGTTTCCTCAACTGCAAAATGGGATAATATGTGTAAAGTGCTCAGAACAAGATCTGATCCACAAGGATCATCACTGCCATCATTCAATCTTTCAACAAACATTATTGAGCACCTACTATGTGCCAGACCCTCCTCTAGCTGCACAGCAGTGAACAGACAATTAAAAATCCCTGCCCTAGCCCTGGTCTGTATAGCTCAGTAGCGTTTAGTGTTGGCCCACCCACTGAAGGATCACAGGTTTAATTCCTGGCCCTGGTCAGTTGGGACACATGAGGGAGGCAGCCACTTGATGTCCTTGTGGAGTATAGAGTCTCGTGGTGGAGGCACACAATCAATAATATAAATGTGTAGCCCTAGCTGGTTTTGTTCAGTGGTTAGAGTGCTGGCCTGCAGACTGAAGGGTCCCAGGTTCAATTCCAGCCAAGGGCACATACCTTGGTCGTAGGCTTGATCCCTGGCCCCGGTCAAGGTGTGTGCAGGAGGCAGCCAATCAATGAGTCTCTCTCACATCAATATTTCTATCTCTCTTTCCCTTCCAGTCTGAAAAAAAGAAAAATCTTTTTTTTTTTAAATATATCTTTATTGATTTCAGAGAGAGGAAAGGAGAGGGAGAGAGAGAGATAGAAACATCAATGATGAGACAGTCATTGATCAAGCCCGCAACCGGGCATGTGCCCTGACCGGGTTTCGAACCCCGATTGCCTGGATCCTAGGTCGACGCTCAACCGCTGAGCCACGCCCAGCCAGGCAAGAAAAAGTAATATCAATGTGTAAAATATATGGAGTGTCAGATGACAGTAGATACTAGGGAGACAAGTGCCAAGGGAAGTGAATGCAGTGTTAAATGGTGTGATCGGGAAGACCTTACTGAGAATCTGAAGGAGGTAAAGATGCCATCAGCGTACGTATCTGTGAACTGGCTCTTCAGCAGAGGGAATAGCACATACAAAGGTCCTGAGAGAAGGCTATGCTTGGTATTTTAGAGGAAGAGTGGCTGAAGCAGAGTGAGCAACGGGGAGAGAGGAAGGAAGTGAGGGCAAGGAAGGGACTAGGCAGATCATGAAGGGCCTTGTGGGCCATGTAGAGGACTTGGGCTTCTATCTTGAGGGAGGTGGGAGGCCTGGGAGGATTTAAAGGATAGGAGGTACATGATCTGAATTGTGGGTTTTTTTTGTGTTTTAAAAATTATTATTTTTAATCCTCACCCAAGGATATTTTTTCCATTGCTTTTCAGACAGAGTGGAAGGAAGAGAGAGAGAGAGAGAGAGAGAGAGAGAGAGAGAGANAGAGAGAGAGAGAGAGAGAGAGAGAGAGAGAGAGAGAGAGAGAGAGAGGTGAGAGAGACACATGGATTGGTTGCCTTCCGTTCTCGCCCTGACTGGGGTAGGGTATGGAGCCTGCAACAGAGGTATGTGTCCTTGGCCAGAATTGAACCCAGGACCCTTTTAGTTAGAGGGCCAACGCTTTAACCACTGAGCCAAACTGGCTAGGGCTTGTGTTGTTTTAAGGGATGCAGACCTTTTAATATATATGTGTGTGTGTGTGTGTGTGTGTGTGTATATATATATATATATATATATATATATATATATATGTTTTCATTGATTTTAGAAAGGGAGAGGAATAGAGAGAAACATCAATCAGCCACCTCCTGCACAGCTCCCACCAGGGATCTAGCTCACAACCTGGGCACCTGACCAGGAATGGAATTGGGGACCTCTTGGTTCATGGAATTGATGCTCAATAACTGAGCCACACCAGCTGGGCTGAATTGTTTTTGTTTTTTTCTAATGTCAGTGTTATAACATTAAAGAATAACATTCCACATTACTAAGGACTTATATTCAGACATCATCCTAAATTAACCTGTCTTAATTCATTTAATCTTTTTAAAAAATATATCTTTATTGATTTCAGAGAGAGGAAAGGAGAGGGAGAGAGAGAGATAGAAACATCAATGATGAGAGTCACTGATCGAGCCCGCAACCCGGGCATGTACCCTGACCAGGAATCGAACCCCAATAGCCTGGATCCTAGATCGACGCTCAACCGCTGAGCCATGCCCGGCCGGGCTTAACTCATTTAATCTTCAAAACAGCCCTTGGAATCATAAACTGTTCAATTCCTCACTCCCATTTCACAGATGAATAGACTGAGCCTAATCAACATGGATTTTTTTCTTTACCTCCCTAGGTAGAAAGCCTGGAGTCTCGGGAGATGTGGAAAGGCTTCATCCTGACAGTGGTGGAGGTCAGAGTGGTTGCCCTCTACCCCTCTTTCTCCCATTCCCCAGTAGTCCTCTGCAGAAGTCCTCTTTTTTCTTCCCATCCTTCATTCCCCAAATAAGCCCCTAGAGTATAGCACACTGGTCTCAAACTGGCCTACAAACCAAATGTAGTCCATAAACATCTTATGTTTTGCCAACAAATTGCTAACTTAAAAGTCAGCTGTCATCACTTAAAAACCAGGATTTTAGTCAACATTCCTAATTTCTATTTTACTCATTTGTTCCCTACCTGACCCCTGCAGCCTGTAGAGTCTGAGACTCTGCATTCTAGCATCTGCTCTGTCCTCCCCATCACTGAAGTTTCTCACTCTCCCCCGCATCCTCTCCAAAACCTCTTTGCCCCTGAAGGGTAGGGCAGCTCTGAAGCCCCCAGACCCAGGTTCCTACCTTGGCTCTGTCCGCACTCTGCCCTCAGTTTGCCCCTCTGTGACATGGGCACAGCTGCCCGTTCCACAGCTGCCCTGATCGCCCCTCAGCTCCGTGTCCCGTCCAACTTGACCCTGCTGCCTGGACACCTGTACATGATGGCCGAGGCCCTGGCCAAAGAGGAGGCGCGTCGCGCGCTCGAGATGCCCTCGTGAGTGACCCGCCTGACCCGAAGGGCTGCGGGGTGGGGATGGGG